TTTTATTTTTTCATTTTACTTTAAAAATAATATTAAATTAAAACTGAAATAATAATAATATTATTATTATTACTATTATTAGTTAATTAAAGTAAATAATCATTATAAATGTTATTGATTTTACTTTAATTAAAATATTAAATTAAAATCAAAATGATTATTGATTATATGATTAAATTATTTATTTAATTAATCAATTATAATGAGTTTATAGCTTAGCATTGTTTATTACATTGTTTCTGGTTCAAGAAAGAGACCAGGATGTTTTTTAATACACTATATATAAACATGAGCTGGTGTGCAGAGGTGTGTGTGTGTGTGTGTGTGTGTGTGTGTGTGTGTGTGTGTGTGTGTGTGTGCCGTGGCCTGGATTTCTATGTAAATTCTTACTTTGTTATTGATGTCTCTCTTTGCGACGGCAGAATAAAGCGCGTGCAGAAGCGCGTCCACGAGACCCTCACACACACGCAGTCTCTGTCGAGCGTCGGCTCCGTCTGAACTCACGTTCCTGCAAACACACACACACACACACACACACACACCCTGCGTGTGAGATTAGAATAAGTGTGTCCCACAGCATAGTGTGCCACTAAAACCTTGACTTCCTAATTATGTGTACTTCTTTTATATAATTATTTTATTTTGGTCTGGTTCAATTCATGGCATCTGTTTGTATATAGTTAATTGAATCTGTGATATATGTTTGTGACACAGCTGAAACCTATAAAAAAATGATGATAAACGTTATACAGATCCGTTAGGCCATTAACTTTTAAATGCCTCATTATGCATTAATATGAGGAGAGTCTCCACATACTGTAATAGACCCGCGACTGCAGATCAACGTGAGTCTGCATTTCTCTCCGACACGGTGGGAAATTAAATGAAATGTGGAGGATTTTAACTGTGACAAGATGATTGACAGGCCAGTTTACGGTGACAGGATGAGGGAGAGCACGCTAAGCCCCGCCCCCTTAGTTACGGTTGCTATCTCGGACAAACAAACGGAGTTGCTAAATGACAGCTGTCAGTGTGTGAACCTCGTCCCGAGATGTGTTTGAAGGACCAGCTCTCGCCGAGGAGCATCCAGTGGGACTTAAATATGCCATGGAGGGATATATAAAAGATTTTAAAATAAATATGGCGGGATAAGCCTCATGTTACTGTACATGACGTGGAAACAGTTGTAGGTTTGTACGTTAGCACTATCTTTAATTGTAACTTGATGAGAGTATGACAACCAGATAATGAAGGTTTTCGTCTTCATTGGGATTGTTGAATCCTTAGGGAACCATGTGCGCTCGCCGCTCGCATCACTGATATCATAAATAAACCGGGCTTCAGTCGTATAGCGCAGATAATACGTCCTATTACAAGAACCCAACGCATGTTTGTAACATAAACACCATCAAAATGATGAGAGCTTCGGATCTTCCGATGTTTCTCTATGGCGCTGAAACCCTTCCCTGTGAAACTGATACTCGACTGCCATTGGCTGATCTGTGTTTGATGGGAGGGGCTTACTGATAGGTCGATTGTATGACGTGATAGTGTGTCCCAAAGCTTGTCTACTCTTCTGCTAAACACTCAAGTATCTACTTTTTCTTCACAATAAGAATAGACACTGTTAGGGCGTAGTGTAAGTAGGCGGATCACGCTCTCTGATAGATCTGAGGGATCAGTATCAAAGAAAACTGTGGGAAACCGCTTAAAAACAGCGGGTTCAGAGAGAAACGCTACGAGCGAGCGGACCTCAGACATCCAGAAGTGTTCTTGAAGACCGTGTTCCACTCGGGATCCCCGGGCCGGGCCGGGTCGTTCGGGTCTCCTCTCAGGCCCGAGTGAGGGATGATGATCTCGTCCGTCAGCGTCTGCAGGCCGTGGTCGATCACCATCATCTTCAGAGGCTCGTGAGACGACAGGTTCCACAGCGTTCCTGAAACATCAGGAGACTTCTTTTACAGTCATGGTTTAAATGCTGGGAGATTCACAAGAATGGGTTATCCAACTGGTTAAGGCTTTAGATGAATCATCCCCAACTATTTTTACTGTAGCTTTGAAAACAGTAAAAATAGTGAAATATTATTCCAGTGTAAATCAGCTGTTTTCATTGTGAATATATAGTAAAGTGTAATTTATTCCTGTGATCAAAGCTGAATTTATTTAATTAAATATACAATAAAAATCACAAAATATTATTGTAATGTAAATCAGCTGTTTTCTATGCGAATATATAGTAAAGTGTAATTTATTCCTGTGATCAAAGCTGAATTTATTTAATTAAAAATACAGTAAAAATCACAAAATATTATTGTAATGTAAATCAGCTGTTTTCTATGCGAATATATAGTACAGTGTAATTTATTCCTGTGATCAAAGCTGAATTTATTTAATTAAATATACAGTAAAAATCACAAAATATTATTGTAATGTAAATCAGCTGTTCTCTTTCATAGGTTCACTCAACGCTGCGGAAAGCGCAGTGGGATATTCTCTGAATGTGCCGATTGTCTGAAGCCTTATAGAATCACGCCAATTCATTGGCTGATGGCGTCCGCGCGATATGACTCCGCCCCGACGCTCTTACGTCGCATCATTACATATTCGCGCGCGCGCCATCTGCTCCTCAGATTTCTCTACCTTCAGAGCGAAGCGGTCACGTTTGCCCTTCGCTCGTGATTTTTCTGAGCTACAAATACATATAAGGATTATTCTCGGCGCTTCTGCGACTGTTCAAGCGGAACTCTGTTTCTCCTTACGGTGAAGTTGCCATGGATTACAGACGCTGTACTCCGCCATGTGCTCGTTACATCGCTAACGACGACCCACACAGTAGGTGCGTTAAATGTTTGGGTTTTTCACATGCACGTGAGGCAGTTATAGGATCGTCTAAATGCAAATTCTGTGAAAATTTGTTGCTCAAAACCCTCAAATCGCGGCTCGCGGTCTTTGAGAGGGAATCATTCGTCTCCCCCTGTCGCGCTCCCGAGGCCTCTCGAGGATCCGCGACTTGGGGTTCGGATGTAGAGCTTGTGGATGTGGAGTTCGAGCAGACGAGCCCCGCTCTTTCTCTCCCTCTCTCCCCTCGGCACGCGCGAGGGCATGCCAGTCGAATTTTCACACGATTATTTGCGCCCCAGCCCGGGAGCACGCAACGCGGTTTCTTTCGGGCTGGAGGATATACTTTTTACCGAGGCTTCCGACTCCGAGGATTTCGGGCCTACTCTCGCCGACGAGGTTATCCCGCCGAGCGGCCAGGAAGCGCGGCCTACGCGGAGCTCGTTGACGTGCTTTCGTGCGCTACGAAGAAGCTCACTATTGATTGGCCCAACGAGCCACGTGAGTCTCAGTCGTCGAAACTCGACGAAAGGCTTCTCAGTGGCCCTAATTCTAGGCCTCAACGGAGGAAGCTGCCATTTTTCAGTGATCTGCATCATGAGATCTCCAGATCCTGGAAGCAGCCTTTCTCTTCGCGCCTCACTAATGCGGCTGCTGCTGATTACACCAACCTGGTAGGCTCTGTGGAACAGGGCTATTCCGCCATTCCGGCGATTGAGGAAACTTTAGCCGACCATCTTGCTCCGTCGTCTGCGCCGTCCTGGAAGTCGCGCCCCCTCCTCCCTTCTAAAGCATGTAGGACTACTTCCTCTCTCATTGGGAAATCCTACATGGCGGCTGGGCGGGCAGGCATGACCCTGCACACTATGGCCATTCTTCAGGCCTACCAGGCGGACGTCCTGAAGGAAATGGACGAGGGCGACGGCGTGACCCCTGAAGCGGTCAAGGAGCTTCGTAAGGCTACGGATTTAGCCTTAAGAGCCACCAAGCATACCGCACGCGCTATAGGTCGCTCTATGGCTGGTTCTGTTGTGGTGGAGCGCCACTTGTGGCTTAATCTCACGGAGATCCGTGACAAAGAGAAGGTTTTCCTCTTGGACGCCCCCATTTCTCAAACGGGGTTGTTTGGTGAGGCGGTCAACACAGTGGTTGAGAAATTCCGCTCCTCCAAATCCCAATCGGCCGCGTTCAGACAGTTCATGCCCAGGAGGGCTAGGGAACCTTCTGCTCCCCCCCCCGGTGCGACCCACAGAACGTCCCTCTCATAGACCGGAGTTCTCTTCCAGAAGAAGCGAACCGGGGCATCCCCCACCTACCACGGTTTGGGGAGCCCGCGGTCGTCCGTTTCCCTGTCAACGGCCTCACAAGCGCCTCCAGTTGAAGCGGTCCGACAAACCCACTGCTCCGGCGGCCCAGAGCCGTTCCTGACCCTCCGGTCAGAAAAAGGAGAGCTCCTCTGCTTCCTCAAGGTTGGGTCAGACCGCACAAGCGTTTCTGCCCACCTCCCAGCTCTCCTTTCCTTGCCCTGTCACCTTTGCCACTCAGAGTGTCTCGAAGTGCAGGCCATATTTCACCTTCTCAACTCAGTCCGGTGCGGGAGGAAGGAGACGCTTTCTGCTTTCTCCCCTCACCCCCCACACTCTCTATAACTACCGGCCGCATCCTCGGAGGCACTTTCCGTTTTCCTCCGGAGCAGGCGGATCTGGTCACCATGACCCCAGCATCGATGCCTCCCATCACGTGCCAGGACGCCGATGGCCCTCCTGCACAGTCAACCTCTTTACTCCAGGCACCTTCAACACGGCACCCTCACTCAGGTATGTCGTCTGCATTACAACATCCCTCCTCCTCTATCACATTTCCTTCCAGAGTGGGATCGTCTTGGGTTCTTCGCACAATTCAGTTCGGCTACACTCTTCAGTTTTGCCGCAATCCCCCCTGTTTCAACGGGGTGTTTCCTACTGTAGTAGACAGCGCCACTCAGGCTTCTGTACTTCAGCAGGAAATCTCTTCCCTCCTTCTCAAAGGAGCAATAGAGGAGATTACTCCAGGGGAAACCGAGCAGGGCTTTTACAGCCGTTACTTCCTGGTCCCGAAGAAGGCCGGCGGTTTGCGTCCCATACTGGACCTCCGCCGACTGAACTTCGCCCTTTACAAAGGGAAATTCAAGATGTTGACGCTGAAAGCTATCATATCTCAGATTCGGCCAGGGGATTGGTTCGTGACGATAGACCTAAAGGATGCTTATTTTCACATCCAGGTTGTACAGCGACACAGGCAGTTCCTCAGGTTCGCCGTTGGAGAAAGGGCGTTCCAGTACAGGGTCCTTCCCTTCGGCCTATCTCTGGCCCCGAGGACATTCACAAAGTGCATGGATGCAGCTCTGGCCCCATTGCGGCTCCAGGGCATCCGTGTTCTAAATTACCTGGACGATTGGCTCATTTTAGCCCAGTCCAGGAAGCTAGTGGCCCACCACACAGAGACATCGTTCTGAGTCATATCCAGTCTCTCGGTTTGAGGTTGAACTCGGAGAAGAGTGTTCTTGCTCCGGCTCAAAGCACCGTTTTCTTGGGGGTGAACATGGATTCCGTTCTCATGCAGGCCCGCTTGGCCCCTGCACGGATTTCCAGCTTGATGACATGCTTGGCTCGTTTTTTGCTAGGCCATCATGTGTCTGTGGGCACCTGCCGCAGGATGCTGGGCCTTATGGCCGCGGCCTCCTCCGTGCTACCGCTGGGCCTACTCCACATGAGACCCTTCATGTGGTGGATGAAACTCTCAGGGGTTCGACCCTCCGGGTCAACCCTTCGCCTACTGAAGGTATCGCGCAGTTGCTTTCGAGCCCTGTCAGTTTGGCGGGACCCTCTTTTTCTTCGGAAAGGGGTCAGCATGGGTGCGGTATCTCGTCGCCAGATGATTACGACGGATGCCTCTCTCACCGGCTGGGGAGCGGTTTTCGAGGGCAGACCAGCGTGTGGGGTCTGGACCGGAGAGGCTCTCTCTTGGCACATAAACTGCCTGGAGTTAAGAGCCGTTTTTCTGGCTCTGCATCATTTCCTCCCTCTTCTGGAGGGTCACCATGTCATTGTCAGAAAAGACAACATGGCAGTGGTGTCTCATGTGAACCGGCAGGGAGGTTCTCGGTCGCGCACCCTAGACAGGCATGCGCGTCACCTTCTCCTGTGGTCTCAGAGCAGATTCCTATCTCTAAGAGCGGTTCATGTCCCAGGGGTTCTGAACCTCGCAGCAGATTTTCTGTCGAGACAGAAACTCAGATCGGGGGAATGGATGTTGAACCGCCAGACGATGGCCCTGATCTGGGAGGTTTTTGGAGAGGCGGAGGTGGACCTCTTTGCATCTCAAGAGTCGTCCCAATGCCCGCTTTGGTTCTCCCTGAGTCCCCCGGCCCCATTGGGGATAGATGCGTTCGCTCACCCTTGGCCAACGCAGAAACTCTATGCCTTCCCGCCCATCAAACTGATCCAGGCGGTCTTGGCCAGAGTGAGAGAGAGCGGAGTCCACCTCCTCCTGGTAGCTCCATTCTGGCCATCTCAGCCATGGTTTTCGGAGCTAATTCCTCTACTGGAATCTTCCCCCTGGAGGATCCCGGTCAGGGAAGATCTGCTGTCCCAGCTACAGGGCAGGATATGGCATCCTCGCCCAGACATGTGGAAGCTGTATGTTTGGCCGATCAGAGGCCGTTAGCATTAAGCTCTGGTCTCCCAACTGACGTTCAGGAGACCATTGCGAGTGCTAGAGCCCCTTCTACAAGGAGATTATATTCTTCCAAATGGAGGGTTTTTGAGACTTGGTGCTTAGCACATGATAGGAGCCCAGTTAACTGCCCTGCTGGTTCAGTACTGGAATTCCTGCAGGAGAATTTGCGGCTGGAGCAGCCGCTACCACTCTCAGAGTTTATGTCGCGGCTATTGCAGCGCATAGGGAATCGGATGAGATTCCCCTGGGCAAATTAAGGTTAGTTTCTGCCTTTATGCGTGGGGTGAAGCGCCTGAAACCGGCTCGCTCCCCTAGAGTTCCCTCATGGGATCTTTCTGTTGTCCTAGAGGGTTTGACGAAAGCCCCCTTTGAGCCCTTGGA